GGGCTGCGCTCCGGCATCCGCATCGCCCAAGGGGCCTACTTCCGGGTCACCCTCCTCAAGGCCACACCTGTGCAGGTGGACGGGGAGCCCTGGGTCCAGGCTCCCGGCCACATGATCATCTCAGCCGTGGGCCCGAAGGTGAGTTGGGGGGTGCACCCGGTGGGCTGGCAGGCGCGGCGGGAGGGCATGGGGCCCAGGTAGGGCGAGATGGGCCCTCGAGAGCCCCCAGGCCTCTGAAGGAGGTGTGTCCGCTGGGCCGTGGTGGGGCTTGAGCCCCTGCCCCACAGGCCACAGCCACGTGGCCCCCCCTCCTTGTCCTTCTGTGAAACGGGCTGAGATGGCACCAGGGCTTCTGGTGGTTTGCAGTGTCCCGCCCTCTGACCCCCCCTGCCCCGGGACAGGTCCACATGCTCAGGAAGGCCAAGCAGAAGCCCAAGAAGGCTGGGACCCCCAAGGATGCCCGAGCGGACGAGGTGCCTACCCCCGAGGGGGGCCTCAAGTAGAGGAGGCCCTGAGCAGGCCGTGGATGGATGTCTGCAGCCCTGACCTCGGGGCTCCTCCCCACACCCCTGCCTCCCAACCAGTGACGGGTGGGCAGGGGCTCCTGTCCCCTGGGTGGTCCAGATGCTCCTGGAGTCGCCGGCTCCGAGGGTCCCGGTGTGCCCAGCAGAGACGGGGTACCCGCCCGCCACCAGCCCCAGGCCTGACCTCGTCACCCGAGCCTGGCTGTGGCTGCGAGTGGCGACGGGACTGCACAGGAAGGCCTGGAGGCCGACGGGCTCGGCCACCTTCCTGAGGATGGCGTGCAGGGCCTGGAGGCAGTGGGAAAGGTGGGCAGCAGTGCCTGATGGGACCAGAGCTGAGCGGACCTGTGTCCCAGGCCCAGAGAAAGTGGAGACATGGGAAACGGGGAACCAGCTTTAATCACCAAGGACCACTCGCACTTTGTGTCATTTGCCAACAATGAGCGGGGCCCTCCCGGCGCACCCCCCGCCTGCTCCTCACGTGGAGGCCCAGCAGGGGGCGTGGCTGCTGGGCCATGGGTCACCCGGAGGAACCTGACCCAACACCCTGCCTGGGAAGCCCTCAGCACGCAGGTGAGGGTGAAGGCCAGCAGGCTGGCGCAGGGGTACAGCGCCAGCTTGGCGCACATGAAGGCGTGCTCCTGGCCCCCGAGCCCCCCCGTCCGGCCCTGCGCCGGTCCCTTTGCTGCTATTTGCCGAAGTTTGGCCTCAACCTCAGATGTGCCCCCCCAGCTTCTGCCAAAGCTGCACCGACATGCACTGAGCAGCCTTCGTGCCGTGCGCCGCGTCCCCTGCCCTGTCCTGTGCATCAGTCTCTCCCTGCGGCTCTGCTGTGACTCTAAACCGTGGGTGGTGGCTGTCCTGTTGTCTACGTGCGTCTGTGCCCAGATGTGTCTGTGGCTTTGCACCAGTGCCTCCTGTGCCACATGCAACCTGCAGCCCTGACGTAGGTCAGCAATACAGTCTGGGCACGGCCTGCTGTGTCTCGCTTGTCTCTGCGTCAGCACCACTGTGGGGAGGGTGGTCTGCACGTTGGGAGGGTGGGCCAGGCCATGGGGTCCCAGGAGGGCCTGCCTGGCACTGAGGACCCAGGGCCACAGCACACCCACCTGCCAG